CGTGCTGTTCCAGAAAAAGCAAAAGATTGCAGTTCTATTCTTTGGAGATTGACGAGAGCTGCTGTTCATGTTGTGATGCGAACTATGACAGCGCCTGAACCGCAGTCATGGACAGAGGGACCGGTATCGTTTTGTCCTGATGTGAGGGAGGTGGTTTCAATAAAAGTTGATACATGTCTCATGCCTCTTGTTCCCTTCGTAAAAATTACCACTAAACAAGCTTCCGTTTGTTTGTTGGTCAGATCTAGCGAGCGTCGCTTAAAGATTGAAGAGAGGCCCTCTGTCTTTTGTGTTAGATCTTATGATATTTGCTAGAAAAACAGCCATGGAAATAGCGATCGGTATCTTTTCCAGGGTATACGACAGCATCAGCACGAGTTAACTGAGCGAAAACTCCTTTTTCATAGGAAAGAACTTAAGAAGCCCCCATTGTCTTTTTATGTTAGCAAAATGCAAAAAGGTTCCCCCTGTCTGCAGTACGAAATGAAATAAACCCTGGATAGGCCCGGATAGGCTTGCAATGCTCTAAAGCTTAAGCGGCGCTCATTAGTGCCGTGGTGGATCTGTAGGCTATGCGGTTTGCCGAAGAGGGGCCGTAGCCATTTTCGAAAAAGCTCAAGCACTCAAGTGCCACCTAAAGCATACATGAGACTAAACATGTGACGATTAAGGTGGGCCTTCGTCATACTAATCAAGCAAAAGTAATGAAAGCTCCTGCTGTTCCAGAAAATTCACAAGAATACATTTCTAGTCCTCGAAGTCCTTCAAAGCTGGTGAGAGCTCCCTTTTATCTTGTGCTGCAGTGTATTCTGTCCTGAACATCGCGAAACACCGTAATGTTCAATCAATTCCCAAAATTCCAAAATCCTGACATCTGTGGCTCGGGGGTGGCGAAAATGGCCCACATCTCGTTTTTTGGGGTATTGCAGTGTTTGAACCTGACACAACACTGTAATGCTCAAAAATATGCAGAATATATCCGGCCCTGAAACTCAGGGAATCTTAAAGTTGCAAAATGTCGGGTGGAATCTGGTACCGGCAAGGTGGCCTGGCCATAGATGCCTGATTTTTGGAATTTAGAAATGTTTGAGCATTACAGTGTTTCGTGAGCTTTGAAAGTACATGTTTGTTAATTTTTCGAGCCTGAGAGTGTTTCGGGGCTTTATCCTCACAAAACGCTGTAATGCTCAAAAAATTTAAAATTCCCAACCCTCAAACTCACGAAACACTGTAATGCTCGCAACATTCAATAAATACAAAATCTTGTAGTAATCTGATGCCAGAATTTTAGAATTTTGATTTTTTTTGAGGATTACAGTGTTTCGTGATGTTCTTGAGATTGGATTTAGCATTACAGTGTTTCGTGCACCCGATGCCCCATGAACCACGAATGTGTGGATCTGGGAGGGGAGGCGAGCAGGTCGGAGCCTCAAGCTCGATTTGAGTTCGGGTCAGCGGCATCAGTAAAGTTGAAACACTTCGAAATGCTTTTCCATGCCTTGAAGAGTGAATTCAACCATTTGCAGAAAGTATCCCTCTTTCTCCTGTGGGGTGGTTGTGGGAGTTTTGGGGTTTGGGGTTTAGCTCAGGCTTTTGAGTTTGGGATGAAGGGGTTAAGGGTTACAAAGTATAAGGCTCCGAGTCGACGAAGGGTTAGGGAGGGTTTGGGGTGCAGGTTCGTTAGGGTGGACAGTTTATGTTCTGCTTGAGGCTTAGAGCCTGCATTTAGGCCGGGTTTAAAGTACAGGTTAAGGTGGGCAAAAACAGGAGCAAGTAGTTGTGGCTTGCGTAGGGCTTGCGTACGATCCTGGCCTTGTCTGTGACCTCTGGCCGCCCCTAACCGCTTCGATTCCTTTCCGCACACGCCACCCTCCCCCCCGCCCCTACTAGAACTATACCATTCGGGGCGGGATGGGGCGGAGGGGCCAAGAACGCCAGATGCATGACCATATATATATGTATATGTATATATATATATATTATATTATATATTATATTATATATATATACATATATATATATATATATATATATATATATATTATATACATATATTTAGTTATTTATTTACATATATGTATATACACATATATCCTGCACCCTCGCTTCAGGTACCCAGGTTTTCGTCTTTATGCGGATAGCACGAAGGAAGTCGGACAGAAAAGGCTGCAGGTGCGCGCGCATGGTCGCGATGAGAACGAGCTTTGCACGGCATGGAGGTCATACTGTAGCATCCCCAAGGCCATGCGCGCAGATTCGGATCAAGGTGGGTAGTGGCTATGTTTAATTGGCTGTCGTTATGGTTTTTACAGAGGCAACAATGACACTGCTGTGGTGGGTTTTGCAGTCTCTCACATGAAATGCTGTGTTAATTGGTTCATGCAGCCACATATGGAATAAACCTGAAGCAATGTCATATAGTGTCACTATACTTGTCAAAGCCTTTAGTCTTCGCAGCACTGTATAATAGTATAATGATTCATGCGTTTCAGTAGATTAGCAGTCATTTGCGACAAAAGTATGAAATCGTGTTTCACGATGGTGTGTGTAGGTTTCGCAACTGTTACTGGAAGTATAGTCGCCAATGCCGTTGGATGCCGTTCTCCGTAGTTTTCCCAGTCATGAAACTGCTACATAATCTGTTCTTATATATCGAGTTCAAAATTTCAAGTGTGGCTTTAGTACTACCTCTCAAAGTGTTGCTATCACATCTTGTCAATCTGCCATTATTCCTTATTTCCAACACCTTCCGTGAATTTGGAAAACCTCGGTAGCCCGAGCCATAGTTTCGGGAATCAAGGAAATTGTTGGAAATGTTGGTAAAACCAACAATGTCCATGATTCCCCACAGACAAATCATGGATATTGTTGACTTCACCAACATTTCCCACAATTTCCATGAATTTGGAAAACCTCGGGAGCCCGAGCCATGGTTTCGGGAATCATGGAAATTGTTGGAAAAATTTGGTAGAACCAGCAATTTCCATGATTCCCCACAGACAAATCATAGAAATTGTTGGTTTTCCAACATTTCCAGCACGTTCCATGAATTTGGAGAAAGCTCGGAAGCAAGAATACAGTAGACGCTACACTTAAAGAAGCCCCGGGAGCCACAGTAAACGAAAACGTGCTTTCCCAGAGATGCAACGACCAAGGAACACAAACAAAAATTAGGGACAAGGCGTCTGACTTGAGCAGGACACAACCTGGGTACCGGGGGGGGTACCCCATAGATAGATAGATATACATATATATATATATACACATACATGCGTGCATACACATATATACATACATACGTACAGAAAGATAAAGATCAGCATGTATATTTGTTTCTGCACTTAGGCCGATGTCTATTTGTATGCATATGCAATCATGGGCTGCACCTGCTTGCACGCATGCAGTGTCTACATGTACATGTTCATGTACATATGCGAACGCACATACATTTGCAAACACATACACATACGAATATACGTATACATGTATCTATATATATATATATATATATACAGACATATGCTGATATGTGTATCTACATACGCAGGCACACATGCATGCCCGTTTACGCATCTACGCGGATGCACACATGCACGTGCATATGTATAGATAGTATGTACACTTATGCCCACATACAGGGAGCGAAACGTACGGTGACCTGCTAACAACGTCTGTATTGCCCGAAATGCAGCCTTTAAGAGGATCTGTAAGCTGCGAGCACGCGACGCCGTTACATCAGCAAACTCACTGATTGTTTTTTTTTAGCATGCAAGCTGCAAGATTCGTTGTTGGGTCGTCCCCGAACTCGATTTTGTAAAATCTGCCACTCGACATCCATGAACTCCCCAACCAGACTACCCGAAATTCAGAAAAGTGCCGTGGCGCTCAGTTTTACCCATGCCTGGCCTCATGGCGCTGCGTGGTTGTCGCATGCCACCAACAACACCTGGCCAGCTGCGGCTTGGAGAAACTCTTGATTTGACATTGCCGTTTTGCCGGATCCTGCGGAAGTTTGTCGGTTTGGGCTCCAGACATGGGTTTCGGGACTGATGGGGCCTGCTGATGCTCAGAAGACATGGCTTAGTGCCGACGTATGTTCAACTGTCGATTGAAGCAAATGTCGACCTAATTTCACCTCAAGTCAAGAGTCATCTACCCTCATCAAAACTTCCGAAGCCCATCCGTCAGAGACCAGCAGAAAACCTTGATACACAAGCCGTAAGAAGAAAAACCTGGCAGGTGGCTCAGCGCCATGCCGGGCCGCTCTGAGCCCGTAGAGTCTTTTTGTTCATCTTGCAAAGAGGCGAACATCTACGAGACCCGGACCCACTTGAGCAAACTTATTTCAGTATGAATGCAGGGTCTGGACACCAGAACCAGGGCTTTTTGGGTTCATTGTTGCCTTTGTTTGTGGGGATGCAGGCTAATTGATGCTCAGTCGTCCTTTCTCTTTTGGCCCTTGACCTGGGTTTCTGGGTGTTATGGAAGCCCGGGTCTGGGTTTGTTCGATCATCTGGCGGCTATTGTATGAGTTGGAGCTTTCAGTTTGCAAGAGCATCCAGGACGTGGTATACTGCATTAATCTTTCGAACTTTCGATCAATTCCTGTGTACTTTGGTGGCAGTGTCGCACAGTGTTCTATGTTTTCCCGCTTGCTGCCTGTAGAGCCCCTTGGCGTGCGGCGACATTCCCCAAAAGAGGTGGGACCCGGCCATGCCGCATTTGCCGAAGTTGCGATGGAGTTGTCAAAGATGGGTTTATGTTTTTTGTTTTTACATGTTTTGTGTTTACACATGGCATTTGCTGGGCGAGCCCCTTGCCCCCCCCTTCCAGCCAACCCCAGTCCAGCCAGACATCACTTTGGATGCAAGCGGTCGTCGGTCTTGCGGCAAGCTGTTCTCGTTTAGACGTGAAACCACACGTGTCTGCAGAGAATGCAAGCCAAGGCCGTTGGTTGCTTCACTGCCAGGACAGAGATTGCAAAACGGTCGCCTTCCTACATGCAGGCATTGGAGGAAGGAAGGCTGCCATGTCGGGTCCTGGAGTTTGGCATACCGGACTTCGGCGGGCCCGCTGATGCGAAGGCTTACAGAGAGGTGATTGGCGAGTTGGCAGCCATTCTTACTGAAGGCCGCAATATCGTCCTTCATTGTTATGGTGGGGTTGGACGTACCGGGACTGCGGCAGTGGCCGTGCTGTGTAGCTTGGGCATCGAACTTGAAGAAGCCTCGAGCCTTGGTGGAATCGTTTTCTGACTGTTAGCTCGTGTATTTTGAGCCAACAGTTTAGATTTTTCTGGTTGAGCCCAGGAAGTGGGTGGCACAGGCTGGCAGTGGCCCAGAGACCCCTGTGCAAATGGCGTTCTTGCAAGACCATTTCGCAAATACGAAGGCTTGCACGGCTACACCATGCCGGTCTGAGACTGACAAAGACAATGACAAGCGCAGTCTGGAACCTGATGTATCGACCAAAGAAGGGCATTCGTATGCCTCATTGAACATGTCGTGGTGGCAGCGGCCACCAACCAAAGTGACCATTGCAACATTCCGGCCGGAGGAAAAAGATTGAAAAAGACTATCAGCGATTCCTGGAGCAAACATTGGCACGGACAGCGCCCTTGAAATTAGTGTCAAGTGTTTCTGCCCCCTTGACATATGCCAGCACAAGCCAGGGGAGATTTTCTCGCGGCAAGCATGAGGGCATTTTTGTCAATAGGCTTAGCTGACATCAGGCTTGACGACCGATGTGCCTGTCAAGCGTGGCCGCACTCGACAGAGGCTGATGACCTGGCCTTCAAATTATTGGTGGCGCTCGGCAATGGCTCAGCTCTGACAGCAGTGCTGCCGCGATACCACCCAAAGACCGATCCTCTCTAGGGACACCGTGCTTCCAGCGCTCCTGCACGTATACTGGAGATATTGGCGCCATGCAGAAAAAGCAATTCCCAGATTTCGTGCTTCAGCTCGAGAAAGAGTATTGAGAATGCAGCGTGACTTCAAGAGGGATGGGATCGCTTGGTCACAATGCAGAGACGTTCCGTGGCGCACTGGTGCTGCCACTTCTACTATGTCCCCATCAGTTTTGGAAGGTAGCGATGTCATGTCAGTATACATGACATCGAGCATGCACTGCAATTGCCGACAACTGCGGCATCTTGACGAGTGGGAGTGTGCCGATTGTGAAGAATTTCTGTCATTAGGATTAGTTCGAAACCTTTTCCCGGTACCAGATTTGCCATTGAGTTTAAGTGCGCGGTCTCTGCGGAAACTGCTTCGTTGGAGAGCTGCCAACTTTGCGAAACCTGCTCTCGTGCTCAAATAATGCCGGACCTCAAGGGGTGTGGTCTTCGTGCCGACGCAATGGAGCCATTCTCGTGGCAAGGGCCGTGGATTTGGAGCAACTTGCTTGATGAGCCGAGATGCAGCAATGAGATTGCACGCAGACCGTCTTGCGAAGAAGATGAGCCAAGCGACTGATGACTGCGGCTTGACAAATCAAGATCTCTTCCTTTATGCCATCTTGAGACCGACTTCTGCGATTGCCGAACCTACGTGCTTAAATGCAGTTTCACCCGAACAGGCGAAAGTTGCCCAAGCCACATACATGCTTACGGCATGGATAAGAATACGGCTGCGAGCGCAAGTCCTGCTCAAGAAGTGATGAAGAGGCTGCGGCGGCCTCACTCGTGTTTTAGGTCCGCGGTTGAAAGCGGTGAGAGTCACACGTGACTGGGAATGTGGCATGTTGGATACGCGGCACAAGTTAAGATGCGTTCTCAATTCACACTCACTCGTCAGCTGCGAGTATCTCTGCTAGTGATGCTGCGGCTTGGAACAATCGCTAGTCAGAGACAGATACGATCTCTTTCATACGTTGAAGGGGGTGGAATGTTTCTTTTTGGTCCAGGGCCCGAGAACTTAAAACTTGACACGGCTGCATCGGCACTTAGGAGCTCAGCTGCAAAGAAGCCTATGTACCAAAGACCGCCTTGTAAACGTGGAAACGATGCCAAACGGCCTAGAACGAACCAGAATCGGCTGTCGTCCGGCAGGCTCATTGGCAGGCAGTACGCTACCCATCTGAGCCTGAACAGGAGGCTGCTGTTTCGTTGTGCAGTCGGCATAGGCAGTGTCCGCTAGTGCTGCAAAAGATTTGTGCAAATATGTGGAACTACAGACTTCCCACTGTTCCCGGCCCTTCAACACCATTGATCCCTCATTTCCTTTATTCCATGTTGTTCCCATTGTAGAGGTTGTGTTCGGGCTTCGTGCTGGAAAGCGGGCGAATGATTGCACAAGCCACCCGAATCCTTCTATTCCGCTCTTGTTCTTGAAGACCTGTATTCTATTCCTTTCTTGCCGGTCCTACTTCGACTGCTGCTGCCGCTGCTGCTGCTACTACTAATACTCCTACTCCTACTCCCACTCCTACAACTACTACTATACTACTACTACTACTACTACTACTACTACTACTACTACTACTACTCCTACTACTGCTATTCTTAATAATACTACTTCTACTTCTACTTCTACTACTACTACTGCTCCTACTACTGCTATTCTTAATAATACTACTTCTACTTCTACTTCTACTTCTACTACTACTACTACTACCACTACTACTACTACTACTACTACTACTACTACTACTACTACTACTACTACTCCTACTCCTACTCCTACTACTAGTAGTACTCCTACTACTACTACTACTACTACTACTACTACTACTACTACTACTACTACTACTACTACTACTACTACTCTTACTGCTACATCTGTTGCTACTAGTACTACAACTACTACTACTACTACTACTACTACTGCTACTACTACTACTGCTACTGCTACTGCTACTGCTACTACTACTACTACGACTGCTACTACTACTACGACTACTACTGCTACTACGGCCACTACTACTACCGCTACTCCTGCTACTCTTGCCACTGCTACCACTACTCTCCTGATACTAGGACGGCCACTGCAGCACTGCTACTGCCAGTGTTCCTCCTACTTTTGCTTTGCTTTTGCTGTTAGTACTGGTACTAGCACTACTAGTACTCCTAGTACTAGTAGTAGCAGTAGTAGTAGTAGTCGTCGTAGTAGTACTACTACTGCTACTGCTACTACTTCTACTTCTAGTGCTACTGCTACTGCTACTGCTGCTACCACTACTACTACCACTACCACTACTACTACCACTACTACTACCACTACTGCTACTACTACTGCTGCTACTACTACTACTACTACTGCTAGTACTACTACTACTGCTGCTACTACTACGACTACTACTAGCTACCAGCACTACTACTACTCCTGCTACTACTACTACTACTCCTGCTACTACTACTACTACTACTACTACTACTACTACTACTACTACTACTCTTATTTCTACTACTACTACTACTACTACTACTACTACTACTACTACTACTAGTACTACTACTACGACTTCGACTACGACTACGACTACGACTACGACGACTACTACTACTACTACTACTACTGTTGTTGCTACTGCTGCTACTGCTGCTACGACTCCTACTACTACTACTACTACTACTACTACTACTACTACTACTACTGCGACTACTACGAGTACTACTACTACTACCACTCTCTCTCTCTCTGGCTCGCGACGGAGTTCGCCTGGCGTCCGGCAGGCGTTTGCCCGGCTGTGGCAGCACCACATGTTTATGTGGCCCGATGAACAAAGAGCATCGCCTCTAGAGGCCTAGCATGCTCTATAAACTTGTCAATCCGAGCCTAGGCTCCAGCAACTGACAAGACATTAACGATATCCGAGTTCCTGTACATTCAATGGCGTTGTGTTGGATTGCCCTCTAACAAGCGCACACCTCGTTCACGGCATGCGGAGTCTCAGGCTACAAGCTTTCGCCATCGACCTCAGAGATAGTAGCTTTGATTGGCGCAGTTTACAGCAGCTTTGCCAGCGGCGACATGATGGCATGTTTCTCCTTGCACGTGGCATGTCTCGGCAATCTTCATGCTGCCGACCCTATGAGAGGAAGCCCGGATTTGCCTCCATTAGGCTTAGACAGGTCAGATCTTCCACTGACAAGTTGGCACTCATACCGATATGGAAGGCAATCAATATTAATCGATCGCCCGTCCACGGAAGAGTGGCATGCAACCTTCGGGGTGCAAACTGTAGTGCAGTGGAGGTTGGAAGTAGGTGCCCTGCCGGTCCGGATGGATGCAACCTGCTGCTGCCTTCGGCATCTTCTACAAAAAGCTCTCCCCCTTGGAATTCTGTGCACGGGAGACACAGATTGCACGACTCAGCATGGTTGAATTTGTCTCTATGCGGCGCTGCCGCAACGTTGCGACTCATGGTGCATGTGGTGAACAAAAGCTCTGCATCCCAGGTTCGGACTATTCCACAGAGTACCCTTGCGCTCCATGGATAGGCCTTGCCTGTGTTGTGTAGTCCCGTCATCGGCCCTCGATTCCAAGCTCCTACGGTGACTCTATGTGGGGGTTGCTGGTCTGCCAGCAGAGACTGAGGCCATCTCATATTGGCATCGCACGGTAACAGCGCAACTAATCTCTGCAGCTGGTGCCAGGGGGCTTGTCCATGCGAGATCATAGACATGGCCAGCGCTTCAGCTTTGCAATCAGGCTGCGGCAATCCTTCCAAACTGACCCCTCGGATAAGGTACACTTGCATCCGCTGAAATTCGTACCTCAAGTCGCTCTCCACTGTGCTCATGGGTTTCGAGCCTGCCATGTATATTCCATGATAAACATCCGGCGGAGTCCGGACACGCTCTGGCATCATGGACTCTTCATCTGAGTCCATAGGCTCTATGGGCTCAGCGACTGGCGCACCGTCAGAGCCGCTCATGGCAAGCGTGACCCGGTCCGTGAGTAAAAGCAGTAAGAAACTGAACACCGCGGCCTAGAGGAGAGGAACTAAACCGAAGGGAGAGGAGGGGAGGCCTAAGAGCATCCAAAGAGCCAAAGACAGACGCGCGGCTCTAGTACTGTTGCAACATGTGTCGCATGGGTCCTCTCTGCACATAACCTCGGAATTGCCTTTGGTATACTGCGCTGTCGGCCAAAAACTGACGGCAATACAACATCCCAATGAGCGTGGACGCTAGTGATGGCAGGCAGCACCGAGAGCACAACAGCTGGATAACGTGATGAGCGCGTTGGGAGATGGAGATTTGTAGCATCGTACCTGCACGGCAGAGAAACAGCTCGAGCCTATCCCAGATGACCAATCCGCGTAGTGCCAGGGCTGGGGCCACCCTGCCAACCAACCTACACTCAACATATCAAGCTGAACGCAATGGCATTGCACGGATTTTCTGTCCCCATACCTGCAGTGATGGATCTGCGCCGCTACTCTACGACCCCAAATCAAGAAATAACTCGTGGCATGAGGCAGTGATGCACCACAGCGCGTTTGACTGTAGCCTTCAGGCACATCGCCCCGTGGAGCCAAGCATGCGCCAAAACCCGGCTAGGCACTCACTAACCTGCCACTGCGCTAAGTGGCGAGAACTGTAGTTCAACTCCATTTCGAAGCATCCGCGAATCAGACTATGCTGTATGGTGCATACCATCACGCCCTACTCCAGGAAGGCCTCAGCGATTTGGTTGGCCAGGTTGGAGCGTTGCAGGCGTTCTGGCTTTATCGTCATGCACACCAGCTGCGTCAGCGCAGAGCTGCAAAGCACCGGAAGGTTGTTGCCAATTGTGTCGGCGTGGTTGGTGTGCTGACCGAGTTGGACCAGGAACGTGACGGACTCCCCACGCATGTCGGCAGCGAGGGGGCGGGTGGGATGAAAGCGGCCAACCGCATGGGGCTGCGGGGCCGCCTGGATGATCCCGTCAAGCGCCGTGACCAATGTCTCCGTCGTGACACCTGCCTTTTTGGTGTCCTTCTCCAAAGCTTTGGTAGTAGGATTCCACTTCAAGTAAGCCCACATACGAGTCGCCGGATCATACCAACCTAGGTTCTGCAGTGCCTTGGCCTGCTCCTCATTCATCTCCTGTACCCGAGTTTTGAGCTCGACAAACACACAGAGCAACAAGGTAGAACGAAGCGGCCTGGTGATGCTTGCAGGATCCGACTCCCTTGTTTTACGCCAGTTATCTGCAGCCCCGAAGATGCATTTGACAATGGAGTTGGGAGCGTCGATGCGAAAGTGCGCCACCCAGCTCACCTCAATCTTGCCAATGTTAATGCTGTCCTCGTGCCGAAGGGTCAACCTCTGGAGTTGGGAAACGCAAGCCTTCAGTCTTGAGACTTCTGATTCCAAATCTTCTTTGGCATCTTCCCCCCATTTGTCCCATCGCTGAGTTGGCTGCCATTGGCGCTTTTGGCCTCCCCATTGGCCCCGGTCAGTCAATCTGGTACGCTTGGCCCTTTCGGACGCTTCAGCAGAATTGGGCGCAACCGGTGCCGTGGGAACCGCCTCTCCAACTCGCGGCCTGAATGCTGCAAACATGGCTAGTTCCTCTGGTGAGTCAAGGCCATTGTTCATGGTCACAGCGAAGATGGCGCTGGATCAGGATCAGCCGTAGGCGCTTTGCGCTGGAGCCAAACTGCATACACATTACACCTATGTTGCCTAAGTATGGTCTGCGGCTTGGCACGGATGCCGTCCTGAGTGAAGTGCCACTGCGAGCCGTCTCTGAGAAGGGCACGATAATGGCCAGCTAGCGGTGTTGCACCAAAGTGCAGCACCGCCGAGATTGCCTGGTATGGAATCCATCGCAGGTTCATGCCATGCGTAAAAACAGGCATCGCGATCTCAGCATCAAACCAGACCTGACTGAAGGACTTTGCAGCGCCGGTATACCTGTTCAGGTAGACCAGTAAGCGTGCCGGCGGGTAGCACAGAGCATGTAAGGCTCCCTGTTGATGCCACTTATTAATGGCCTCCTGCAGTGTGCATTCTCTGCCAACGGTAGGGATTTGTACTGGACCTGAGTCATGGGTATAAACTTCAACGGCATCTGGCCCTTGAATTCTGGATTCCCATCTGCCAACGTCAATCCTAGCTGTTTCGATGAGGTGGGATATAAACTCGACCGTATCTTGTTGGGCAGGGTTAAACGGCCAATTACACATCACACTGCGTAGGACAAACTGCTGACTCAGGGTGAGTGGGATCCCTGAGACCGCTGCCTGCACCGCTGTTTGCCGCAGCGCTTTGAGCGCGCCCGGGTACGTGGACTGACCCTCCAGTGCCGTGAGTAGCGCCAGCATTCCAGCGTTCGCATAACAGTGGTTGCTGGGGTTTCTGAGAATCAAGCGATGCAGCCAATCGGAGGGGAGATCTGCTGGGCAGGGAAAAGGCCGCGCCACCGTACTGGACTGTGGCACCTGGGATATCGCCACAGCTGGGGCGTTTGTGTTGGACACCGTCACTGGCTGCCCAGTCGACTTGCGAAATAGGCTATCGAGTCGCTGCTGTTTGGGCTCAGGCTTTGTGGTCGAGGCAGATGCACGAAATGCAGGATGTGCAGCCTCACTAAGCGTGTGCCCGGCCAACTCTAGTTGTCTGCCCGCAAGGAACTGAAAGAGCGCTGGGCATTGCGACGCATGATCTCTGGTGTTTTTGGCCTGACTCCCGCAAAACTTACACGGCCGCGCAAACAAAGCAACTAGGCTTGCAGATTCGCTTTGAGCTCCTTGCTGGCATTGCTTCCACGCACCTGGATGCTGGACCTGCCAATGCGGCTTGATACGCGCGGCGTAGCGCACATGCTGAGCGCACAGGAGACAGCGCTTCGAGAGTCCACAGAGCTGAGAGCCAATCCGTGGTAGGCTGCTGTTAGGTTCTCGTAGCAGTGCCCGGGCTGCCTGAAGCGCGTCATCAGTTTGCAGTCCCTCCGGAGGTTGCGGAGGTTTACAAGCCTCCTCCTTCGCAATCAATTCGAGAAGAGTCGATGGCGCATGACCTGATGCAATTTGATGCTGTATCCAACGGCAATGGCCCTCTTCAATGTGTTTGGCGAGAGCGCTCCAATCACACGATCTGGTATGGCAGAATCGGCACATGGGAACACCAAAAAGAGCATGCTGTTGCCTGTCTAGCACGAGCTTGGAAGCTGACTGAATCTCCGGGTGGCGCCGATGTAGATGCATCGACAGACCTTCTGCAGTGCCAAATTCAATGCCACAGACAGGGCAATCTACCACACAAATTTCAGCCCGCCGCACGCTCTGAATGGAGAGTTGCTGGGGTTGGGCCGCCAGGGCCTCAAGCTGAGCGAGGATGCTAGCACACCGTTCTTGCTCAATGCATTTCAGCCCGTCGCTGCGCCCTGGATCACGAAGAATGTGCTCATGCAGCCTTTGAGTGCGATGTTGCAGCAGATGCAATGGTGAGATGCCAGCCCTCTGCAAGACCTGCTCGTTCGTAATCCCATGCTCATATACTCTGAGTACCTTGCGCAAATGACCAGCGACCGTGGAGGAGACCTTCCGCACAACCTCGGCCGTGACACCGATACTGGTAAGGCCATAGAGGAGGGAGCTCACAACGATGGCACAGTAGATACGAAGCCGATAAGGCGCAGTCAGTGGGCCATTGACTCGAAGAACTTTGCGCAGTTGATTGTAGACGCTCTCAGCCTTTGCAGCGCGATGCTGGACAGTGCGCCCTTCGAAGCTATCGTATGAGAGGACTGCTCCTAGGTACTCCAGCTGATTGGCACACGGCAGAAAGACATCGACATCACCATCGGAACGTAGTCGGAGACTCTGAGTGCCATGCATTTTCCGAAAGAAGCGCTTGAAGAGACCTGGCGCCGCTTTGCCATGAATTTTGACAACTACCACAGATTTGGTAAAGTTGATGGTCATGCCCATTCCACGTAGAACATCGATGACTGTTTTCAGCTCTCCACAGGCTTGGATGAACGCAGAAGGTGCACGCAATGTCCAGAATCCATGCGTGTCGTCAGCGAAAGTGGTGAGGTGAGCCTGAGCCCAGCCGCCGCCCAGCTTCTGATTCAGCAGCCTGCACATTCGGATAGTCAGGCAAACATATAATGTAGGCGCCAATGGGCATCCTTGCCGTAGTCCCCGACTCATTCGCACAGCTTGACGCTTATTGCCATGCACAATGACACATACCGACTGCAGATGCACATGCAGAATGAGTCGAGCGAGGGATTCAGGGAACCCGATGTCACGCATGGACCAGTACAACTCATTGTAGGGCACAGTATCGAAGGCTTTAGCTAGATCAAGATTGCACATCAAACCCCCGACAACATCAGGAAGATGCTCGCCAATAATTTTGGAAGTATAATCCTGATGGCATGCGGCTGCAAGGGACCGAACCTCCAGACAGTGATGGCTAGCGCGTAGCAGTGCATCTGCTGTGCCAGCCTGGGACCGATAAGCATATTGAGGGCAGTCATGGACGGCTTGAGCGACATATTGTTCGGCTTCTTGACGCAAGAGTATGAGAAAAGCTTTGGCATCGACTGGCATAAGTCCGATGGTGCGCAAATTGGCTGGGCACGATGGAGACTTCAGGGGCTTGGGCAGCCATGCCAGCTGAACCGTAGACCATTCGAGCGGAATTATTGGGTTTGGAGTGCAAAGGCAAGCCTGCGAGACGGCTGCCAGCTGCTGCGCCAGTTGAGGGATATCCTCCTTCCACAGTTCCCCCGGTGGCTCTGCTAACGGCACGGCCTTATTAGCTTTAATCTTACAAAGCGCAAAGCCCCACTTATCACCCTCAAACATGTCAAGTGGAAGCTGGAGCATGTCTGGTGCATCAAATGGCTGTCCTGAGAAAAGCTGTTTCGCATGCGCAGCAAGCGCAACACACTCCTCACCCGGCGACATAAGGCATCCCGAGCTGGTGCGCAGTCTAATGCTTTGCTTGTGTTGTTTGGGCGCAAGCCACCTTACACATCTGAAAAGTTCTTTGCTGTCCCCACGTCTAGCCGCCTGCTCAGCGATTTGCAGGATTTCCAGCTGTTGTTGCCTTTTACGCTCCCGAGACATGCGCTTGAGTTCACGATGTGCTCTTTGCATGTCGCTGTGCAGCTTGAGTCGCGCAAAGATCATAGCAAAGGTGAGGCGGTCCGGGATCGGATGCGCTTTTGCGGCCGCGAGCAAGGCGTGACACCTCCAGAACTTCTTGACCGGGCCCTCTATGTTGGCAAGAGCTGGGCGCTGTGGGACAGCAGCCGGGGTGTGCTTGGCAAGCATGGCTTCCTTCATACCTTTCAGTACTGGGTGTTGAGAGGGGCGCTCTACCAACGGTACGGGGCGGGATTTAGACTTACATTGTTGCCAAGGTCGCCAATCTAGCTTAAGCGAGGCACGCACAGGCATATGTCCACTGGACCTCCATCCTGCAAGCGGTGATTGCACAGCTGTTGCCTGACGCGCCAGGCCATCCACAATGCTGCGACGCACAACAATGTAGTCTATTTGACTGCGACCTTTCGGATGATGATACGTCCAGTGCTTCCTACCCCAACTGTTGACAACGCACAGATCATGCTTCTTAAGAATCCCAGCAACCATGTTTCTCTCCTCGACAAGATGTTTCGCCGAAGAGCCTATGTGAACCCCACAACCAATACAAGGTGCCAATACAGGAAGGACACAGTTGAAGTCTCCCGAGAGGATCAAGGAGGATCGAACCGGTTGAGCTCCCAAGAGCCCGTCGAGCTTTTTCCAGACACCCAGCCTTTTGGTCATCACCTCTTTCTGTTGCTCACTCCCGAAAGGAAGCGCATGCTGATAGAAGCAAACGAGATCCAGGTGCTGCTTGTTGGCATAACATCTCGCATGCAGGATGCGCCCTGGCTCAATCGCCTGCCAGCGTATCTGCTCTTTAGCAAAGATGTCCGCCCTCATAGCTATGAGCACTCCTCCAGTGCGTCTCCTTTCAGCCGCGCTGTGGCAGAAGTGCCATTTGCCTTGCGTCCAATCTCCATCAAAGCCCCAGTGGGTCTCCTGTATGAAGGCCACATGAACCATCGGCTCCGCGTCCAGCCAACTGAGCAGCTGCACAAGAAGTTCCTGCGTTAGTCCATCACTATTCCACGTAACACATCTTAACCGCGCCCGGTCAGACTGCAGAGGCTTGGTGTGGACTGTCGTTGTCGAAGTCGGCAAGTTTGGTGCGCTTGCAACCAGGCGTTTGCCTCGATATACCGCGCTGCCGTATTTCTGCGCTCTAGCAACTGCTCTCTTGAAGGATCTCTTTTGGATCTTGCTAAGGTGGTGCGACGATGGCACCGGTAAGTAGCCCCCAATCTTTGCCGAAGCTTCCGGATGGCCTGGGGAAGCCAATCCTACCCTCACGCCTGCAGCACCTCCAAGCATTTTGCAAGTTGTGGTTGTACGCTGCATCTGGACTTGGGACCAGACCGAGCATGAAGAGCAGTGGGGTTCCGGTGTCGCGTCATAGTCCGTCTTAGGACTGGTGCTTAGGCCTGTGCAATGCATGAAATGTAGGGTCATGAGATAACTCGTCGAGGATTGGTAGCGTCTGGTTCGGGTAATTCGTGCGAGCAAATGATACCAGCTTCCAGAAAGAAGTGGCCGGCAAAATGTATGCCGCTTCAACAAAGAATTCGCAGATCGGAAAATCTGTCCACAGAGCTGTGATTAGCTGCAAGACCCAGGAATCCGCAGACGCCGACTGCAGCGACAGATTATCCGCCACCTCCTCTATGGCCCAGTTCTTCAAGTGTACTTGCCAGGTAAGCGACATGAACCCATGCTCGTGTTTGAACCGCTCGTGGCGCTTTACTACTACCACTACTACTACAACTACTGCTACTGCTACTACTACTACTACCACTACGACTACGACTACTACTACTACTACTACTACTGCTACTGCTACCTCTACTGCTACTGCTACTACTACTACTACTACTACTACTACTACTACTACTACTACTACTACTACTGGTACTACTACTACTACTACTACTACTACTACTACTGCTACTGCTACCTCTACTGCTACTGCTACTACTACTACTACGACTACACTACTACTACTACTACTACTACTACTACTACTACTACTACTACTACTACTACTACTACTACTACTACTTCTACAAGTAGTAGTGGTACTACTACTATTGCCATCACGTCCACCAAGGGAATAATGGAGTCAGAATTCTGTCTGCAACCACGGGTCCCTTGGGCTGTTGGCTCTTTCGGCGTTCCCCATTCCCCCCTCTGCAGAAATTTCGGAGTTCGATATTCTGGTTGTGGTTAAGTTGTGGTTAGTGCACGTCCTCCCCGACGCACCACATTCACGGATCGGCCCGCTTGGTCTTTTAACACTCACTCGCCTGTCTAGAACCAGCATGTTGCAGCAGTGTTTAGCAGTGTTTGGAGCTTACGAAGCTGGAAAATGAGCTGAACAACGGCTGCTTGCCGGGAAGGCTCACTTTGAATGGGACGATTTCGTCCGCTTTCGGGAGCTCTGCAACATCAACATTACCGAGGCCATAAGGGTCAGTTTGTACTGCTACTTCGGGTGTGTAGCTGAGTATGCAGTCAACTTGCGTAGTCAACAATTCCCCAGCTTGACTCATCTGGCGAACGAGCCACAGAATCCCACACTACGATGGTGCGATTTTTGGAGAGAAATTCAAGCATTTGAGGTTCACGGCTCTCAGCGTAGTGCAATAATCTTGATGGACTAAGCGAGGTCATACCAATGCTGATGTACTTCAGCGCTTTTGCTGTAATCCAGCAACGGGATACAACGATTTCCACGTCCACTTAGTTCATGCCGATGCCCAGAGGCTTGAACATAATCCGGTCGGCACGCTCATGCCAGGCTTGCGTCGTGGTCACGCCTGCGTGGATCATCGAACACACCGGCAAGTTGCTGGAGGCGCCAGACTTTTCCGAGCCAGCAGCATAAACTTGTGATCAATGTGCAGGTCATTCTGTATCTGTGCCTCACTCGTGCAGACAGTCCTGCCCCACAGAATCATTTTGGTTAATTACTGCGGTTGAGCCTTGCTCGGGCGCTCGCGTAGCAAGATGAATCCTGGTGTGGCGGAAGACTGCTGTGCAATTACCTGGCTGGCCTCTCTTGGTCCCGCCCTTGGAGCTCAGCATGAAAGACCCAACGAGGGTCGGAGATGAGGCAGACTCAAATGCCGGAACTATGAGCCAGTCACTCTTCACACAGCTTGGGCTCACTAGGACGGTCATACTGGAAACAAGCGCAGCCTTCCGAAGGAGACCAGGGGAGGCCTCGTTCCAATCTGGTCAGTCAATGCAGCACCCGTGAGCTCATCCTGTTGTCCAGATCCCGCGCTAAGCTTGTCGGCTAAGGAGAGGGCAGCCGGACCCGGTGTGTGAACAGGTTGCTGGGGCAGCTGCTTCACCGGCGTCTTCCCTTTGGCGGCCTCGCCCGTTCCGGGCCAGGTGGTGACACCGGGCAACAGAACAACCGCCGCAGCGTCGCCAGTAGAGGTACCGGACCATGTTGCTCCTTCAAGCCTTCAGGTCTGTGGCAGGGCTCGTTCTCTAATATGGCACGTGCCCGAGGGGAGGCTGTTGTCATTGTGTAGGACCGAACCGGCCCCACTGGTGGGACAGTCGGAGCAGCCATCCTGGGCGCCGGAGGGACTGCTGGCGCACTCTCCGCGAAGATCCGGCTGAAACCATCAAAGATCTCGTTGAGGTCTCTGCTGCCTGTCGTAGGTGGCCAAGAGGGGCTCCTCGCTTACCAGCTTGTCCCAGTCCATGCCTCCCCTGCTGGGCGAAGGATGTCGCCCCCCATGAGCCCAGCTGACGCCCGAGCAAAGGGCATCTCGCGCCAGCTCCTGGCCTTTCGCAGCGTCCACCATCTCCTGGCCTTTTGGTCCTGGCCTTTCGCTTCTCTACAGTAGGGGACGCCGTTGGTGGCAACTCGAGGGACGCCGGGATCTCTTTGTTGCAGGCGGCCCATCTCCTCTCTTTCTCCTCCTTCTGAATACGCAGGCTCCGGGCATCGGCTTTGCAGAAGAGTTAATCACGACAGGGCGAGACAGCCGTGTTCGCCCCCAGCAGCCCCTTTCGAATCCGGGCCCGTGCCTCTTGGTAGAATGGCAGGATGGGGCTGCACCCGAGACGCTCAGGGCTTTTCGCCATCTCCGGTGCTCGCGAGCGCTTACGTGCAGTCAGCGAGCAGCGCCTTGGCTGCGCCACGCTGCGCCGCCTACGCAACGGCGGGCCCTTGATGGGAACGAAGAACGGCCAAAGCCAGGCAAAGGCCAGGAATGGAGCTCACACGCACCATTTTGGGGTTGCTGTGGTCGGCTTGGGAGCGATCGCAACCGGCTCGCGGCCGCCAGCACCACTTTCCCACGACTGCGATTGGAAAGAGTCTGGTGCTGGGATGGCAGTTTTGTCGCAGACCCGGACGACAGACCCCTGCACCCGATGTGCTCAAGGCAGTGCAGGCAGTCAAGCAAGTACACAGAATCAAGATTACATGCATGCAGCCTGGGCCAGAGTGTGTAAGCCTTGCAAGCGTCGTCGGACGAGCTCCTCTTCTCTGCAAACTGCACAGCCGGTCAGGACATCTGCACAAGGAATCCGATACCATGGCAGGAGCGGGGCTTCATGACAAGAATTAGTTTCGAAACGCAGTGCAGGATTGTTTTCAAGGCCGGCGATGACCATTGAAGCTGATCGTGGAGCCTTGTGCCCATGCATGTGCTGAATGCCGAAATCCTACGTTGTGGTTTGCCAGCCCAAATGGCATCAGTAGCTGGGACCCTGAGACCTTGCACGATGTCAACATACTACGAATTGAAGTGATCCCGCTTCTTTCCAACGACGACGGGGGAGTTTTGACCAACGTGAGAAACATGACCGTATGCACAGGATATCGACGCCTGTGTCTTCGCCGGGAACTGACACCACTGGTCAGAGCTTGTTTCAAATTATCAGAGATCTTTCGAGTTTCCCCGCAGTTGAACGGTCTGAGAACTGCAGCTCAGGATGATCATTTCACCTGACGAGGTCCTTACTGGTGTCGCACCTCGTGCGGCGGCTGGCCAGGCCAGTCTGATCCACGAGAGACTTGTTCGTGGTGTATACGCCCACACCTGTCTCCATGGCATACGTTCGGCAGCGGCCGTTTAAAGCCTACGAACAAAGCTTCTTGGTACCAGTCACACGTGAGAGCATCATAATGTGTTGCGTTGGTCTATCGTATTGAATCGGTGCGTAGTGGCTTTGCTGTTCTTCCTGTTGCGTGCACAGCGCATGAGAGGTCAGCATTCTGAGTTCAAGTCCATAAGTTGACAAACATAGCCGTCTCTGCATCCCCAACGTTTAAGGCCTCGAGACTTCCGAGTCCTGCGAGTCCTGCATAAAACAGCCCTCTTATTCATATGCATCTCAACCGATCAAGGTAGCTTTGTAGTGTTGTTGAGCATACAGCCCATCTGATCACACAACATCATCAAAGCAAAATCGCATTGCTAAGTGATGGGCGCAACTCTGCTACTCACGCAGAATTCAATCCATCAAGGCAGAACAGTAGTGCTGAGCGCCACGCCAATGACGGTTTGAATGGGGACTAGAAAGGTGATACATGGCATGATGCATACAAGTCGAGCCGGAGATAAATGACACGAGCTTGTGGCAGTGCTTCCGACAAGGCCGAATGTGATTTGCACTGGTAAATATAATTCCTAGTAGTGGTGCCCCTGACAGTAGTCTGAATCCATGTCAACCTCGACAGTGCAACGGTGTCGTTAGCGCGGACTAACCCCAATATTACCGCCCCCCATAGAACGACATTGAAACCTTCTTGATGCCATCTAAACAGCAACTCTAGTACCACTTACAATCAAAACCTCTGACTCATCTGAGTAGTAAACCCGCTTGCTAGCTGCAATAGTAAGCCCAATAGGGACGTTGGTGGCAATCCTAATATTGCTCTTAACTAAACCTTTTTCAACCCCAAAGTATTGCTATCAAACCTCGCATGAGATCTAAACTTGCCAGTATTAACCTAACCATCATAGTGTTATTTCCCGAAGCTCAACATTAGTGGCCCAAATATTCACTCCGATGGCAACCTTAATGAATTAATGTGGTTGCTAAAAGCAAGTTGCAGGAGTTACAGCCCACTCCTAATCCTGAGCAATGCCAACCCTAGCATTGACCTCGGCGGTAGCTCTGCTCACAATTGTGATGCTGACATGACCCTCAACAGTGACTCAACACTATCCATAATGTCGAACCTGCGACTCAATCGCAGTAATGCCATGCATTGGTAGCCCAACTGGGTGATGTAATTCCAGTTGGTTATTGGGATAGTGCTCCGTGATGTTTTGGGCGACTTCATGCACAGGACAAAGTCATCCCCAGATTGATCGAACTGCTGCCGGGACCTTGACATAAACTGATTCGTTTGGAGCAGGGGAATTGATAGCATTACAGCAGCTGAAATTCGTGAAGTCTGTACCGGATGTACCTTGACTCGGATCTGTTTTCTGGTGCATGTGAAGGCTGTGCCTGTTGCACCAAGTCGACCCAAGCATACTGAAGGATTTCCATCTTGCGGTTTTCCGACATTTCGGAAGCCACACATGGGATGTCCTCATTTTTGTTTGATGAATGATCGGCAGACCATGGCAAGGGCAAACCCACCAAAGCGCTATGTTGAACCACACTAGTTTTGGGGGCCTGGTTCGCATATCCTGCAAGCTTTATCCAATATGTTTTTTGCAATGC